TTTCATAATATTCTCTTATAATTATTTGTATTTCTGTGGTGTTGCTTGTTATTTCTCTTCTCTTGTTTATGATTTTATTTAAATGGGCCCTTTTGCCTTTCTTTTTAATAAACATGGCTAAGGATTTATTAATTTTATTAATTTTTTCAAAGAACCAGCTCCTGGTTTCATCGATTTATTCTATTGTTTTTTTTTTTTTAACTTCTGTATCACTTTTTGTCTGCTCTAATCTTTATTATTTCCTTCCTTGTACTAGTTTTAGGCTTTGTTTTGTTTCTAGCTCCTTTAGGTATAAAGTTGGGTTGAGATTTTTCTTGCTTCTTGAGGTAGATCTGTATTGCCATATACTTCCCTTTTAGGACCACTTTTGCTGCATTTGAAAGGTTTTGGACCATTGTGTTTTCTTTTCATTTCTTTCCATGTATTTTTAAATTTCTTCTTTGATTTCCTAGTTGACCCATTCATTGTTTTATAGAATGTTGTTTAACCTCCATATATTTGTGGTCTTTCCTAATATTTACTTGTGGTTGACTTCAAGTTTCATAGTGTTGTGGTCAGAAAAAATGCTTGAAATGATCTCAATCTTTTTGTATTTGTTGAGGCCTGATATGTGACCTAGTATGTGCTCTGTTGTGGAGAATGTCCCATGTGAATGTGAAGAGAATGTGTATTCTGCTATTTTGGTTGGAGTGTTTTGAATATAGCCGTTAAGTCCATCTGGTCCAGTTTGTCATTCTAAGCCATTGTTTCCTGTTGTTTTTCTGTTTAGATTATCTGTCCATTGATATAAGTGGGGTGTTAATGTCTCCTACTATTATTGTATTATTTTCAATGAGTTCATTTATGTTTGTTATTGTTTTATATATTTGTGTTATTGTTTTATATATTTGGGTGCTCCCATATTTGATGCATAAATAATTACATTTGTTAGATCTTCTTGTTGGATTGGCCCCTTTATTATGATGTAGTGCCCTTTTTCATCTCTTATTGCAGTCTTTGGTTTAAAATCTAGTTTTTCCATATAAGTATTGCTACTCCAGCTTTCATTTGACATCCATTTGTATGATGTTTATCCTTCCCCTCACTTTCAAAGTGTAGGTGTCTCTAGGTCTAAAATAAATCTTTAAAAATTTTTTTTAATGTTTATTTTTGAGAGAGAGAGGCCAAGAGTGAGAGTGGAGGAGGGACAGAGAGAGAGGGAGACACAGAATTTGAAGCAGGCTCCAAAGCAGCACAGCAGGTTCTGTGCTGACAGAGTCCGATTAGGGGCTCAAACTCATTAGCCATGAGATCATGACCTGAGACAAAGTCAGATGCTCAACCAACTGAGCCACCCAGGTGCCCCTAAAATAAATCTCTTGTAGGTAGTGTATAGATGAGTCTTGTTTTTTAATACATTAATGCAAAAGACACCCTATGTCTTTTGATTTAGTCCAGTTACATTAAGAGTAATTATTGATAGGTATGTATTTAGTGCCATTTTATTACTTGTTGCGTCATTGTTTCTGGAGATTTTTCCACTCAAGGAGTCCCCTTTAATATTTGTAATATTAGTGGTCACAAACTCCTTTGGTTTTTGTTTGGGGAATTCTTTATGTCTCCTTCTATTGTGAATGATGGCCTTGCTGGATAGAGTACTCTTGGCTGCAGATTTTTTCCAGTCAGCACGTTGAATGTATCAAGCCACTCTCTTCTGGCTTGCCAAGTGTCTGTTAAGAAATCTGTAGCTCCCCTTATGAGGCTAACCTTGTAAGTTAGGGGCTTCTTTTGTATT